TACATACATACATACATACATACGCGGAGGAAGGACGTATAGCGACGTGGGGTGTTACGTCTAACGTCAGCTAGTACACGAGAAAATGACAGTTTTCCGACCCCACACCGTTACTGTATCTATGGTGCAGCGTATATAGATAAGAAGAGATAGATAACTAGGCCGATGCACCAGCACATGAATAGGTGATTCAAGAAATACATGATATAGATGAATGACTCAAAGCATCAGCAAATCAATGTGTACATGCGTTACATAAGCATGTTCATCCATAATTGCATGAATGAATGGATGCATAAACAAATAGACAGATGCAAATATTAATTTGCACCTACATGTCTGTGTATCTATGTGGAATGTCTATATGTTCGTCTACTGTATGGGGACAAGTGTGCATACACATCATGTTACGCACATGTCGCAGAACCTCCGGATCCTGTTTTGTTTCCTTAGATTAACGAGCCTCCCCACAGCCTGCATTGCCAAGGATCCGCAGATTGCGCGGCTGGGAGCCACGTCACATGGCGATGTGGGTGTTTTGTGCGGGTGAGTGTTGTTTTGAGAGGGATGTGTGAGCGATGGAGACGGGCAGCGCGGGCGCAGAGTAGTGATTGCAACATGTAGTGCTACTTGCAGTCTGATCATGGCATAGCGGCAGCCATGGTAGTCCAAGCGCGGCTCCATCACATGCAACTAGTGTAATCCTGTGCATGGATAGAGGTGCAAGCAGAAGTTAAGGCCTATTCAACTCTGGGTGCTTCTGTTCAATGGAGGGTGGTGAGTTCAGGTTGCATGTTCAGTGAATCGTTCTCGGTTTTCCATGCTTGCTGCCATGGCTGCGCCAGACTCCTGTGAGGGATGTGCCATGCGCGTTTTGCGCCTGCCATGGGTATCATGGGTTTCGTGCTGCTGTCACGGTTCTTGAGCTTTTGTGAGTCATTGCAGCTTTCGATATTTCTCATCTTTGCAATGGGCGCCATGGATGCTTCACCGCCGCTGCACCGCCGTGGGTGCAACTAGCGCTCGGGTTTCTGCCATGGCACCCTAAGTATGTCGCGACGGCCATGGATGCCATGAGCGCCGCACATCCCCGGTGGAAGCCATGGAAACTGCCCCAAGAACCCTTCAGACTCCGAGTTCCGTAGCAGCCATGGCCTGGCCATGGCCTTCAGGGATACTGCATGATGCCATGGGTGCCCTGCGTGCGCAACCAAGTCCATCATGGTGAAACGAAGGATGAAGCGAGCAAATCATCGCACACAAGCACGAAGATATCATTCTACAGTTTTTGTCACACCGGGGGTTAGTCAAAACAACAATCTGCAAAGGTTTGTGTAGACTCTTGACAATGACGATGCCATGAAGTTGCCATGATACGCCCTTGCCATGAGGCCATGGGACCCACGGATGTTGCACGGCTGTGGCAGGAATCTGTCTTTAGGATCGACAGTACAGCTAGGCAGTATCACCGTTTCCCTTATGATATCCATCGCGGCCCCCTGAAGGCCAAAGGCAGGCCCAGAATCCCGAGTCTCGGCACCCGATGATCGTGCATGTTGCATAAGGCTGGAGGAGAAAATAGACAAGCTCGAGGAGGGCCGGGGCTGGGCTTGCAGAGTTCAGGCCACAAGGGACCCAATTTCAGTGGGCTGAAGTATCCTCTTCGAAAACAAAAGGGTTCTGTAACTTTCTGTAGCCGACGGTCTGCCTTTGAATAGATGTTGATCCCTGAGGTGAGATACTGCATGTTCCCTGTCTAGATGGATTTCGAGAACAGCTCGATGTCGTTCACCAGCCCTGCCTGAAGGACCGGTTCCTGAGCGGCGCCGCTTGGCCATGGGCAGATTTGGAAGGGTTCAGTGGGTTTTCGGGATCGGCCAAGTCATTTCACTTCTCACAGGTCGGGCTATCCGAGGAACTTTGACGCGAGGAATCATGCGGAACTGCGAAGGGTCTCTGGAGAACAGCGTCCTACGCAGCCAGACGGGGAACCATGCGGAACCTCGAGGTTTAAGGAGAAAAATTCATCCGCAGATCCTAGGAGCTCCAAAACCTCGTGGTCCCGTTGCCCTCTGCTCCTGTGGTGCCTGCGGCCTCGAAGGCCCGGCAAAAAAGAATCTCAGAACTCGGAAGGTTTACAATGCTTACAAGTTGCTTTGATGGCTTTGGTAGCTGTGGGTTGTGCCGCGGCAACCCCGCTGCCCAAGCTAAACCTCCGATCCGAAGACGTCGCGCTACAAGTACCAGACAATCTCTTGTTGCTGCAGCTGAATCTGCGTCGACCCTCAAGCAAGCGTTCCGCCCCGCATGCTCGCCTGGTGCCGCGAAAGACTGAGAGCGATCCTGCATGGCCGCAGCATCCTCGTACGCACACACACACACACACACCATGGTCACATGGGGTTATTCTTTTCATGCTTAAGTCCCTGATACGTCTTCACTGTCAACTTCTCGTCCTCTGGTCAATTCTTCTGCAGGTCCACTTCTTGCAGGGCAAGCCATCGACACCTGCATGCATCTTTGCGCAGCCTGCGATTTGGGTCTTTCTTGCATCTGCGGGGTCCCACAGTGGGTTACCAGGGCTTCACAGGGTGTCTTCTTTCGTCTACAGCCCGCGCTTGTGCCCAGGCTGGTTCTTGCAGCCCACTTGGCTCGACCCTCATATCATGCATGGGCTCGCCAAGCTTCACACCTTCGATCTAGCAGCCCATCCGAAGCTACTCCGAAAGAACCCAAGAGAAGCTGGATGGACTCTGCCGATGGCGATGCGCAAGCGCTGTGCGCCCAGTTGGAGCTGAGCCGGGAGGCCACGGGCCACGGAGCCGACATGAGCCGACGGAGTAGAGTCTTCTTTTTTTCCTGTGGGGTCCACAAGCTGCCAGGCTTTCGAGGCGGATGAAGCGGCGCGGGCGGAGGCCCTCATGCGCGAGGTGGGGCTTTTGGATGAACCAAACTTCTCCGAGCCCGTGCCCGAAGTGAATGCGGCGGAGTCCGACCTCGTGAAGCAGGCGGAGCGCTTCCTCCTGCCCTTTGCTACAGATGCCAGCATGCCCAGTCAGACAAGCACAACTTCTCCGAATCCTTTGCACGTGGCAGCTCCTGCCCAACTTCCAGCGCCACTTCTGCTGGACATCCCAGCACCACAGTCGCCAAGCTCTCCTTTGATAGACGGAGAGCTACCGCTTTCGCCAGAGGAGCCAGGCCAAGCGGAGGATGCTGGCCAGGAACCGTCCTTTGACGTGGTTCCGCCGCTCGAGCTGAGACCGCCTGCAAATGGTCAGCCTGCTGCCGAGGCAGCGATGCAAGAGTCTTCGCAGGAGTCCCCGGATGGCCGTTCGCCACCGGAGATACGGAGAGTCCATCCTGCGCCTCCGAAGGCCAGGGCTCAGCCACAGGCCAAGACTCAGATTCTCCATCCTGCAGAGGCCCCGCGAAAGCTAAAGGCTAAGGCTTGAAGGTGAAAGGGTGACTGCTAGGAACTGCTACTTGTAGGACTAGGAGTAGGAACAGTGTGAAACAGGTTCTGAGTAGGGCATAACATCGGGTTCAGTCCAGGCATTTCAAAACCGGACCTGGCTCCAGACTGTGACAGCTTGGAGCATCCAAGCTGGGGTTGACGTCCGTTTCGTTGCGCAGCGGTTTGGCTTGTGCCACCCGGTTTGATGTAACAGATAATGGCGGCTTGTTGTGTACCGCGCGTCGCAGTGCACTGTAGCGACTCTTTATGGCACGATGCGACTCAAAACACGTGGCTCTGTTTCCATCGGTATTCGTGTCACATAGCAACATGCTTGCACCAGGGTCAACATGCAACATCGCTCAGTGCACGTAGATTTCGGCAGCACACCAACAACAAGTGCCTCCTGCCTAGAGAATCGACGTCGCTGAGATTTTGATGCATCCGGCGTTGAGAATGTGGCATCGGCAAGTGCTCGTTTTAGGATCCTTGTTGTGTATTCTTGCTGCCGACGTATCATTTTCAACCACGCCCAGCACTAATGGCCACGAGATCGGCGCACCATTTCTTGTTGACTCCTTGCCCCATGCTTCCGAGAAGGAGGCGGACGCAGCTCTCTTGCTCCTGCCCCCTGCCGAGCGCAAGCGGAGGCGGATCGAATTGCTGACGCAGGCCCGGAAGTTGGGCGCTGTGCCTTTTGGGTGCTTATGTGGCGAAGGTCGGTGAGGGACTTTGGTGATCGCTCAGCCTTCTTGTCCTGCCTCTTGATGGAGGCCGAAGATGAGGCGTTGATGAAGCGGCAGCTTCATGAGAAGATGGTGCCTGTGCTCGCAGTTAGAAGCACTTTGACAGGAAGGTTGGCAGAAACGTTGGGACAAATGCCACGGAATCTGTGGAAGCTGTTTGTTTCGCCCACTTTCTCGCGACGAGAGGCATGCCTGGCACAGGCAGCTCGTGGTCACTCAGCAGCATTTCAGAGTTGAGTGTAGTGTCTCATTCTCCGGCAGGACCCTCTGTAGAGAAGGGGACAGTGCCTCTTCTGTCATGTCGCTCCGGGCTTGAGGCATTATCCCAAGTACTACGGTGCTAACGGTGCTTGCTCGCCTGCTCAGAAGATGTTCTGGATTCCTGGAGGTCTGGGAGAGCTTTCACTAAAAGGCCCGGCCCTACACCCTGAAGCCCTAAATGTTGTGAAATAGTGTAAGCCTTAGCACAGCTCCTCGAGCCTTGGGTTCACGAGGTGAAAAGCCAGAAGAGCACCTGGAATTGCCATTTGCTGGACCCGACGTTCAGTGGGACGAGGCTGCCTGAACAATACCTTGAACCCTAAACCCTGAAGCGAGGATCATTTCCTGTGGATTGAGGGGTGCCTTCCTGCATTGTGTTCTGCCGTCGTTTCGCGGGGTGTTCGATAACATCTTGCATTGTGCCGCGACATGTCTCTGACGCTTTCGGTGGGGGGTTGCGGGATGGGGGGCAATGTAAGTGCCCTCGACTTTCCACTCTCGCTTGAACCCTGGACCCGGCTGTAGAACCTGGGGGAGCCCGGCCTGGCAATGTCTTCAGTCCTGAGATGCTTCAAGTCCCTCCGTTGTAAGAAGTACAAAAACCCAGTGAGTCCTCAGACTCAGATTGCACCGCTTCGGTGGAGCTGATTGCAGACAGGTCTCTGTGTGCAACGTGCAACTAGAGTCTGATGAGGTGGGTTGCTGCAGATGCAATGGTTGCCAGTCGAAACCCGCAAGCGGAGGAGCCACCTCATACCGCGGCAAATGGCGCAGCCTTTACAGACCTTGTGGACAGCATCGAGCAAGAGGAACCGAGGCGACTGCATTGCAAGCTCTCATGCATGTGATCTACGACTCTACGGTCAGCTGCATGATTGTCCATGGCACGTACGCATCCACAACTGCTCAAGTCTGGGATAGTTCCGAAGCCCGAGGCCCTGAGTCCTTGAGCCTCGAGAGCTCCCACCCCTCCCACACCGCTCGGCGAGGGCCAGGGAAGACGAGCAAAGCCGGCTGCTCTCAGAACTGAAGGCACGCAACCAGGGCTTGGGTCCTTAAGGGTCTGGGGTGCTGAAGGGGTTTGGGGTTTGCAACTCCATGACTTGCCGTACGATGTTGACAGAGCCGTGTTGCAGCTCAGGGCTTTGAGGCCTGTAGTGCTAGTGGCGATCATGCCGCTGGGTAGCAATGCCATGGCTTTCGCCCTGGCGGTGAGCCGCTCGGCGGATCGAGCGTCACCGTGCGGAAAAGCAGCATTGCAACGACTTTCGACGGCCTGCCACGACTTAGGGCGACTACCTAGTAGCTGACGATTGGACTACTCCAAATCCCAGCGTCTACATGGCAAACACGCTGGTTTCGTATCTTAGAAGCTTTCCAAATGTAGTATATACCTCAGCG